CTTTGAATTTGAAGTTTTCAACGCCTTTCTTACCAGCAGCATGAAATACAAGAATTATGATCTCCAATTGTCATTCTCCCATATTAAAAAAAAAAAAAACAGACTTTTATTGGTGGATTTTTTTTCTTGGATAAATATATATACATGTGTGTGTAAAGTCCATTAAAAGTTGTTATGTTTAGAAAGTTTTTGTTGGCAAAAGGATATTTATAAAGCTTGAATGGTGGGACTAATCTTAATTTCTTACGGCATTGCATTTGTTTCATTTCTTGAGTTGTCATTTTGATATTGGTAGTTTGTATTGGAAAAGTGGTCCGGCGTGCAACGTGGTCCTTTTCTTTACCTTTCTTCTTGTCAAATGACACTGATTTTGATTCATCAAAATAAATAATAAGAAGAAAAAATCTATCACCTTAGCAACAAAGCTACGATGAAAGCATTTGGCTTATTTCCATTGTTGTAGATATCTTTTTATTGAATATAATCATATTTGAGGTGACTAAATATGACCTTAATTTTTGGATTGTCAAAATTTAAAATTTTTATATAATAAATTTATTTTTAAAAAATAATTATTACAAAATTATTGCATTTTAGATTATATATCTATTAAAATATAAAGGTAAATAATACTAAATATAGACTATCTAATTTTAATCTAGACAATCATATATATATTGAAATTTTCAAAAAAAAAAAATTGAAGAGCCCAGATGTTAATTTTTATTAAAGAATCTACAAAATTGAGCACAGATTATCAAATTATAAAGTTTAATTTAAATTTATGCTCATTTTGTTTTTATTTTTTTAAGTTTAAATCACAGATTTTAGTTCTTGTAAAGTGGTCCTAATTTTTATTAAATTACAGAAACTAATATTTTAAATGAGAAAAAAACTTGAGGAATCAAAACTTATGATTTGAAACTTAAAATACCAACATTAAAATAAGAACAAATTTGAAGGACAAAAAATTATATTAACTAGATCATCATTTATTTACAAGATTTATTTGCAAATAAATCCCTTATTTAGGACTTGTCAATAATTTAATTATAAATGAAAAAACAACCATACGCTGAAATTATTAAAGAGATATCTTTCTGGGAAAATTGTAAATGAAGACCCCATAATATGTGAAATTATAATTTGGGATCCTAAATTTAGAAAATAGCAAATAAAGACCCAGTCTCATTTTTGTAAATATAAAATCATGACGAAATATTTGAAATACCCCTTCAAATGATAAATTGACTATAGAAAATGATAAGTTCACTTTAACGAATGACAATTTTAGTAGACCAAATTACAAATTAATTGAGGGTATGCCAAGTAACGAGTTAACTATAGAAAATGACAATTTTACTTTAGCGAATAACAATTTCAATAGATCAAATCACAAATTAGCTAAGAAGGTATTTTAGACATTTCACCCACATTTTATATTTGCAAAAGTGAAACCATGTCCTTATTTGCTATTTTCTAAATTTAGGTTCCCAAATCAAAATTTTATACATTATAGGGTTTTATTTGCAATTTTCCCTATCTTTATCACACCCCAATCTTTACCGTACGTCAACTCTGACTAGAACTAATCTTACAGAATCACAGACTTCTAATTTTCCCCAAAAAAAACAAAGTTAAAACTCATTCGTCATTCCTTGATGGTTTCTTTATTTCTTTGGTTTGGATTTAATTCAAAATTTTAGGAAAGAAGCCAATTTCTTTTTTTTGATATAGCTCAAAATATCTTCAAATCACTTTAGATTTAACCTAATCTCTATTAAGTCAAGAGTATTAAGGTTAAAACTTTCTCAATCAATATCCTTCTCAAAATTTAAACTTATATTTTTCTTTTCACAAGAATGAGATCGCTTATCATGCTAACGAAAATTTAGGAAAGAAGCGAATTTCTCTTTATTATGTCTTTCACTCTGTTTTGTAATAATCATTTTTAGATATCTTTCTTCAGATCATTAATAATCATCAAATTATTTGGACAAAAGAATTTTTTTTACAAAAAAGAGGAATTAGTAAATAAATCCACAAGAGATTGCTTAATGGAAAAGAATGGCCATCTTTTTTATAAGACTGAAGCTTTAGTCCATTCAATAATTATTCACGTGTTGGCCCAATTGGAACTCCTTTCAGAAACATTACTTGTCAAATTGATGTTGAAATAATCCTGCTTTTTGACATCTTTTCGCCTTTAGTTAGGTATTAAAAAATAATATTCTTTTCTGATTTTAAATATAACAGTTAAATAATTAGTTTTCAAGTTAAGTTAGTTATTAACAAAAGTCTTAAGTCTATGTTTTATGGATGAAAAAAATGTCCAAAAGAATGAATGAAAATACTGATGTTAATAAAGCCTCTCCTAACAGATATTTAAGCAGTCTAAAATGAAATCATCTTATAGTGTAAGATACTATAGGTTAATACAATATTTATTCTTTATAATTTACTCTTATTTTGATTTTAATCTTTTGAGTTTTAAATTATAGATTGTAATCTCTCGAGGCATAATAATCCAAACAGATTTCTTTTCTTTTTTATTTCTAAAACTTGTTCTAAAAAATTACTCCAGAAAATGTTTCTAAAAACGTAAAAATAGAAAATAAAATCAAACATGCCCTAATTTATGGACAAAACGTAGGTTCATTTTTATATTTATGAGATATAATTCTCCCATAAAATTTTAGCACAAGAATTTTTCTAATAATAAAAACTTACATTATTATTAATAACAAAAATCTTGATTGGATGATTGGATCTGATGACTTGAGTAAATTATATCTAACTCTATTTTGTACTTAATTTATTTGTTATAGGCACATTATAAATAAAATCTCATAAGATAATAAACATAATGTACAAAATCCTTTATAAATCATGTGTAGATAATATTTTTTTATTTAAAATTGTATTATAAATCTCTTAAATTTGGCCAACCTAATGCCCCACTCATCCTGGGATTTTCGAAGACCATGACTCGGAAAGAGCAATGGGGTCCTTGCACATAAAATATTTTAAACATTTATCATCATAGGAGTATTAAATAATATAACTAACTTTAAGCTTATAAAAGATGTATTGCACTTTGACCCCCCACACAAATAAAAATCAAGGCTAAATTGCACTTTTTTTAAAAAACTTAAACATAACCATAAAATATCCTTTGATATTTGATATGAAACATCCTAAAACTTCTAAATATATGAAAATACTTGTTTCCATTCTAAAAATAATTTTTTTTCCGATCTTAAATATAAGATTTATTTTGTAATAAAAAATTATATCATAAAATAAGTCTTATATTTAAAACAGGAGGAGTATAAGTCTTAATGTTAACTGTTGTGCTTTAGTAATTAGTAATTAAAAACTATAAATACAGAAAATTAATATTTATATAATTAATATAATATGAAATTTAATGAAAAATAAATACAGCAACCTAATAAAAGTTATAATTATTTAATTAAAAATCAAATGAAATTATAGGAGTCAACATATTAATATTTTTCCATGGAATAATTAATTTAATATGTTGATTTCTGTTGCATACAAAAGAAATTAAATTCTCCTTGATAACATTGAAAATGAATGAAAAAAATTCACCTCAAGTCAGCTCCGTAATAAATTCGTTAGCAGGTGCATGGGCATGTATTATTTATTATAAATTATATTTTTTGACAAGTAAAAATAAAAGTAGTAAATTTTAAACCTATATATATATTTTCCTGTGAAATTTATGTTAGATCTAATTTTGTCGCAAAAATTTTTGCTAAGTAACTATAAGTATCAGAAAGTTTTTTGTGAGTTTAATGTTATCCAAAAATTTTCAAATCGTGCCGATAACGCGATAACATGAGGGGAATTAAAGATGCAGAATCTGCAAGGAGTTAAATTATTGAGCACTATTGCTGGTCAAAAAACAAAATTATTGAGCACTATGTAGGAGTTAGATGTGGGAATTCTAATTAATCAGAGGGTTCATGTGTAATTTTGATCTGGCTTTATTTTTCAGGTACAATTTTGCCTTTTATCTTTTTAGTGGTATAATTTTGATTATGATATTGTTTTTTAGATGCAATTTGTCTCTAAAGATTAGGGACAAAATTGCACCTTAAAAAGAAAAAATAAGAGGCAAAACCATACCTGAAAAATAAGATTATAGGTAAAATTGTACCACTAAAAAATCATGGTGAAAATTGCACCTTAACTCTCAAACAAATGGTCAAACTCCGTAATTTTTAACAACAAGGTAACATTACTATAATTTGAAAATTTATTAGAGGATATTGAATTTAAAAAGAATTAAGTGAACAAAAATTTTCATAACAAAATTAAACATCCCGTAAAATTTCAAGTTTAAATGCCAGGGAAAATAAGTTTCAGGAGGAGAATTTTATATTAAATGCAACCAAACATGACTTTATTTTAGACTACTTGATGTAGCTTTCAAAAATTCATTGGCATCACAAAAATGAAGATGATGATTTGAGGGGGAAAAAAAACTAAATTGAATGTGCAGACTTAAGATGGTAAGGCTATAAAATAATTATTGGCATTAAAAACTCAATAATATAATTTTTAATCCTATTTATAAGATGTTTTCAGTATATTTTGTATATCGAGAAAAATTTTAAAATATATTAAATTTTCATTCAAATATAATAATTTTCTAATTTTATTAATATATGCATCTTAAAAAAAATAATTATCTACAATATAATAAATGAAAAACGAAATAATATATTCAAGTTAAAAATTTAATAAAATAACTTATAAATTATATCAATCAAATTTTTTTTGTTTTATAAATAGGATTAAAGGAATATTTTTGTAAATTTTTCATGAAACGTATTATATTTTTTTAAATTTTTAAATTTTTTAATTAAATTATATGATTTTGTTTCGATGGCAAATTTCTTTGACAAGCAATGCCCCAATCTGTCAATAAAAAAGCAACGGCTTCGTCCTCATCATCATCTCTCTCTCTCTCTCTTTTGCAGACGCTGACTTACTCACTGGCGAAGTCATCACTCTCTCTCCTCTTAGCTTTTAGTTTTAGAAATAGAAATCAACACTTCAGAAGCAGAAGAAGCCATTGAAGCTTAACGAGGGCGTTATAGGAAGAGGAAGACGAAGAACCTTCCCAAAATGACTACAAGACCTAATCAACAGCCTCGGCGCATAGAGGAGAGACCGCTCCAGAACGGAGACCACCGGCCACGGCAACCGCCACCTGCACGTGCGGCGGCACCGCCACCACAGGCATCGTCTTCAGGTGGGAACCACCACCAGCCCCAACCCCAACCTCAACCCCAAACACAACTTCCCCGCCATTACTACCCGCCGCCACCGACGCCATACCGGCCGTCGTCTTCCGCCTCCTTTAGAGGCTGTTGTTGTTGTCTTTTCCTTCTCTTTTCCTTCCTTGCTCTTCTCGTCCTCGCCATAGTCCTTGTTATCATACTGGCCGTGAAGCCCAAGAAGCCTCAGTTCGATCTCCAGCAAGTAGGCGTTCAGTACATGGGCATAACGCCATCCTCCGTCGCCGGCGTCGCCTCCAACGATCCTACCGGCGCCACCGCCTCTCTCTCCCTTACAATCCGGCTGCTCTTCACAGCGGTGAACCCTAACAAGGTGGGGATCAAGTACGGCGAGTCCAGATTCACCGTCATGTACAGGGGAATTCCGCTGGGCAAAGCTTCGGTGCCTGGATTCTATCAAGAAGCTCACAGTGTAAGACAGGTTGTGGCCACCATTTCCGTCGATCGAGTCAATTTGCTTCAGGCCGACGCCGCCGATTTAATCCGAGATGCTTCACTCAATGACAGGGTCGAGTTACGGGTCTTGGGCGACGTTGGAGCTAAGATCCGAGTAATGAACTTCGACTCCCCTGGCGTTCAGGTTTGCCCTCTTCAATTTCGCTCTCCTCTTCCGTAGTTTAAATGCTCTGCTGATTCTTATCCTCTCTAATTTCGGCTTCAATTTTATTGTTAGCTCTTTCCTGATTAAGTTCTGCCTACAATTTGCTTGCAAATCAAAACGAAACCTTCTTCGTTAGATTTCATTTAAACTCTGGTTTTTCCTCTCACTTTTCCTCTGGGTAGTACGGAGAGAATGTGCGAAGAGTACCGACGATAGGTGGCGTGGGATGTGCCTGTATCTGCGGATTCCATTACCCTCTGTCGCATTTTGCTTTTTCATGACTTATCTTCTTCCTTCCTTTCTCCACTTTGTCGTCTTCCTTTTCCGGTGGCTAACGTGCGCCGCTGAGAATGTACCAGATTTGCCTGTGATAGCGTGCACCGAAAGCAATTTTGGGGATATTAGTCTTCTGAGATATCATTACAAGGGTCTCATAGTCATACTAGTCACTGTTCTTCCATTGATAACCTTCCTGTTTGATTTGATGCTGTTTCCTTTATCTTTTTGTATGTTTTTGCAGTATCTCTTACAACTGTTAGTGTGAATAATGAAAATTCACGGTAACAGACATTTTTGGGTAAAAATCTTAGTGGCTGTCCCCTCAACTTTAGTGTTGTGCATGGTTTGGCCCTGGTTCCTATTTCTGCATTTTTGTTCCCTGTCTTGGCAAGGATTGTATCCGTTTTTAATGGAATTTTTGTTTTAGTGTGGGGTTCTTGGGGTCTTCCCCTTAATATATGGCTTTGTTCTTTTTCTTCCCCGTAGACGTCCTGTATATGGCTTTTCTTACGAGTTCTTTAACATTTGTTGTCTTGTGCGATCACATGGTCACATTGAGAAGACTTAAAAAATGAATTATTGGTCCCACAAAAAAAAAAAAAGGAATTATTCGTTGCTCAATTCTCATGTTTAGGAGATCTTTGAAATGAATTCTTGAATGATGCTAACAAGTATACTTTCTTTTCACATTTTTCTGTGCATTTGTCTTGTTACTATTTTAGACATTCCAATAGCTTCGCCCCCTATGTGCTTGACTGCTGTAATCTTCACTTATTTATTTTATACTATCACCTTTTAGATTCTCTCTTGTTTTTAGAAAATAAATAAATAAATAAATGTACTAATTCATAGACTTTAAGTTTTTAAAAGTAATTTTTAGAGGGTTTACTTGTAATTTTGACGGATCTTAATAAAATCTTTTATTTTAAATTTTACAAATTTAAGGCTCTTAGTTTCAGTTCTTTTCTTTTTATATCTTATTCTTGTTTATTTGGTTTTTAGTTTGGGTAGAGCTCTTTTTAATTATCCAACTGTGAAATAAGAAATGATTAAGAACAAAATCGTTGTTTAAAAAAAAAAAAAAAAGAGGTCAAGGTCCCACCGGGAGTTGAACCCAGGTCGCCGGATTCGAAGTCCAGAGTGCTTACCACTACACCATGGAACCAATCACCTTTTTCCTTGATATTACACTTACCTGAATTTATTTATTCTACTTTTGTTGTTTTGTATTTTGCGGCGATATGTTTCTGTTCTAAAAAATAATATAGATAATGGCATAATGTTATTATTATTATTTTTTTCCCTTTCAAAGTATGGATGTTCATGTTCATTATGTGTATTTTGATATGCCCCCAAGTTATCAAACTTGAAAATCAGGGAGTTGAATAACCCAAAAAAGAAGCTTTGAAATAGGAAGACATTGCCTTTCAAATCCCTTTCTTTTTCTTTAGGCCAAGGTAAAGAGTTAGCCATGTGACTTTCCTTTTTGTGGGGCACATGGGGTCATCCTCCTCTCTGTCCGATGTCCATATGTTCATGGGGGAACACATGGATCTTTCAGGTCTCAATTTTGAGCCCCACACCTCCCCTATCTTACCCCTTTTTCCTTGTCAAGTATCAATGAAATTGAGGTTCGCTACTCCCTCTCAAGTTCTAAATATAAGAGTTTGATTCACTTTGTCTTCCTTACTTAATGTATATTTTTTCACACTGCCCTTGCTAATTTCTCTCTCTTTCACTCTCTTAGTACCCCACATTTAATATTCTCATTAAAAGAGGGATACCTTAACAAACTGACTGGCAATCTTTTCATGATAACAGAAATAACTAACTAATTTCTTTAATCTCTCTAAATTAGTTAACTTGGTCTCATATCTAGGATTAGAGGGGCATTTCCCTATCTTCCCCTCTCTCTTCATTGCAAATATTAAATCATGTTTTATTATTAGTGTTCACTACAGCACCAATGGATCATGTTTAACCGGCACAGTTGCTTTTTGAGCAGCAGTTTCAGCCTCCAAACAACGGCTGCTCATTTGTGTTTGTATATCTGTTTTGTGTTTGCTTTTTTCCGAGATATAGATCACAGGAACTGCACAATAGAGAAACCAATTTTCTCATTTTAGTCTTCATTTTATTCTGCTCTATTTTGTATATGAAACAAGATGTAGTATGCGGTTTACTGGAACTCTCCTTGGTAATTTGTGCCATTTTCTCATTGTAGTCACTGTAACCGAAAAAGTTAAGATACTAAAGAAGAGAATCATGTGAATTAGGAAAAGTAGACAAAGTTATGAATATATTTGATTTTTTTTTTTTTCATATAGATCTTATATAATTTCTAATAAATATTAAATACACCGAATCAATTAAAATAAGATACTCTATGTAAAGATATTAGAATGCATGAATTATATTTTTAAGATCTCTGTTTGTTTATTATTATTTCAGTTTATAGCATTTTTGTCGCTGGAGCCTGGATGAAATGCTTCTTGTTCAAACTATCTTTAACCAAACAAACCATCTTCATTTAATCATCTATCTCATAGTTATGATGGTCTTTTAACGAACCAAGTTCATGTTTAAAAATATGATCATGTGTGGCTAAAGGAAGATGAAAGATCATGAACTCAACTTTATATATGCAGGTTTCGGTGGATTGTGCTATAGTGATCAGTCCAAGGAAACAGAGCCTGACATACAAGCAATGTGGATTCGATGGACTGAGTGTTTGATCAGAAAAGTGCAGAGCAGATCCTTCCAGTTGTCATTGAAGGAGAAAGTGAAGAGATATTGAAATGGGGGTGAGATTCAAAGTTTCATCCTTATTTCTTATCTTTTTTTCTCTTTATTTTTTTAAATTCACTTTCTTCTCCATTCACTATGAAGGATCTAAATCCATGAAACTGACATTCCCTTTCTTTTCATTTCCTCCTTCATCGATGCCCTTTCCTCTCTCACACTCACTTGAGCTCTCATTTCTTCGAGTAATTTGAGGAAGAAATGAGAAAACATTATATATGCAAAAAAAAAAAAAAGGAGGAAAAAGTGAGTTTCTCATTCATAATGTGCATTTTTAGGCAGTGAGGTTTGAATGCTGATCTGAAAGGTTCTGACATAGAATTGTGAAAATAGAAACCCAATGGAGGAAGAACTTAGAGGATAAAAATTTCTCAAAAGATTTTGCATATTTTTTTTTTACTTGAAAAATTGGTTGCTTCATTTGGAAGTTTAATTATGCGGACATCGTGTAAACTGTAAAGTTTTTAATCAGATGAGTGGCTACTGATTAGGTTATTTGATATCCTTTTGTTGTTTTGCTGTCTGTCTTCTTTTCCCCTTTTTCTCTGTTTGGTGAAATCTCTCTTTCTACTTTTCTTTTTGGCTTTCAGAAAGTGTAGAGAAGATATACTAATTTAGTTGTTAATTATTTGTACAGCTTGACGTGGGAACTTTATTTTTTTTTCCTTTGTAGCTAAGTAATGTTATAAAAATTAGATTCGCTGGGAATCCGGCGATCTTATTTTGATTTAAAATATTTTAGGAATCAGAAATATTAAAAATTAGTTTAGAACTATTTTTGTGTGTAATGTTAACATGTAAATTGAAAATTTAATAATGTATTAATCTCATTATAGTCGGATGTACTACTGTTATGAAAGTATGTTGATTAAAAAAATATAATGGGAAGAATGAATAATTTAGAATTAATATAGTTAGATTGCAAGCTCATGGTTTCTCAAAATTTAATGTAAACTGAATCAATTTCCATAAATCTTGTATTATATATGAAGGTATCTTTTGGCCAAAAAATATTATATATAAATATATAAATAATAATTTTGAAGTAGAAGATCACTGATACAATATTGTATGGTCATATATCATGGCTTTGTTAATCTAATCGGAGGTATGCATTAATGAAATTATAAATGGATATTTCATTGTAAAGCAGTACTCTTCTAGTTTTTAATATAACCTATAATTAATTAATTTGAGTAGATTAATTATATTAGTAAAATTATTTAATAATTCGTTTTTTTAAAATCACTTCAATCATATTCTTTAATTTTCTCATTTCTTTTCTACTTGATTGTTGTTAAGAGAATATTAATAAAGTTAATTTTAAAAAAATTAATAAACACGTGAAATAAGTTTATAGAATTAATATTAATTTTTAAATTAGGTGATAGGAGGAGTATTTTTGAATATCTTTTCTTGTAATGACTTTAAAAAATTTTGCTTATGTTTGAATTTTTTTTTTTTGGTTTACTGATTTTATAACTTAGAATCGACTTTAAGAAAAACTCTAAAAATAATAGAGCAGAAAATGGCATATTTATCAGCTCCATCCACAGATGCGTGGCAAGTCTTTACATTGATATCCAAGCTTATTCTTCAACTTTTTTAAATATGCGTGTGTGTGTGTGGCAGCTGCCTCTCAAATTTTTAGAAATATAACAATAATATAAATCGAAATTTACATAATTTCATTTCCTCTCTCTTGATTGATTGATTCCATAGCTCTTCCATTAGAATTTAGAAAGCCCATTTTTATAATACATGAAAAAGCCGGTGTGCTCTGAATTTTAATTTTAGCTTTAGGTGTGAACTTTGTCACTAGTTGTTTGTTGGCGTGCGACCTTATTCGTGCACTGACCCTTTTATTATTACTGATTAATTTATATACAAATAAATAATAATAATCTTAGCAAAGGAAAATCCAATTCCTTTGAAAGTCACAGGGTTAAACACAAAAGTACCTACTCTCATAAATATTCTCAAAATAGCTAGCCCTCCTCTCTTGTACTAGTTAAAATTAAGTATTTGTATAAATAATATTTGTCACTCTTTGTTTAATTTTACATGTTAGATACTTACATTCTTTTCATGTCCCTCTCTATTCCAATTCCCCTTTCCGAGTTTCCTTTCACATTCCCAGGAAAACCTCGTCTCTTATCCCAATAGCGACCTGAAGGCATATTCATTAGGCCATAGGCTGGAAAATAAAAATCCTTTGTCTTCACCAAAACATAAAAGTCATTTGTTGAAAAACGTGCGAAATCTTCCACCGGGTTCCAGGAAACGAAGTTAACTCAAACTGAGAAACTATTATTTCTAGCATGGCCAAACAGCAAGTAGAGGACCGTTTCTTAAGGAAGTATTATAGATAAACAACACACCGCATGATTAAAAAAACCTAAAACTCAGTGCATAATCATACTCATGTCTAAATATTGACTCTCCGGCATCTTAATCTTGGATACCCAGCTTAGTCAGCACCTAGAAGCTGTAATGAACAAGACCCAGCAGAAACACAAAATCAGGCCTTGAGGCGACCGTAAAACTTCTGTTTCTCCTGAGTGGTCTGGAAGCGACCATGTCCAAACTTGGAGGAAGTGTCAATGAACTTGAGTTTAACCTCTTCAAGGGCCACACGAGAAGTCTGCTTCAGTAATGACTGGCGAAGGGTCAGCACACGCTTTTTGGGTCCCACGCAGCATCCCCTAATCATAATAAAATCATCCTTTACCACACCATAGTGAGGGAATCCACCCATTGGAGTGATGTCCTTCTCAGTCCTGCAATATCGTCATTGTGAACTGTTAATGCATGATATAGTGGAGGAGAAAAGGTTATGTATGGGTGAATAAAGCCAGAAACAATATGGAATACAATATACCGTTGGTGTGCAACAATACCTGTCATAATCAGTGATGGCCGAGTGTGACTCTTGCCCTGCCTTGCCAACCCTGTAGATCTTCTTATTCAACTCAGTGCGGTGATGATATCCATTTTGTCCAGCCCTGGCAACTGTGAATGAAACTCGGGCAGGATGCCACGCACCAATACAAGCAACCTTTCTTAGACCCCTGTGTGTCTTGCGTGGAAGGCGAGTGACACCCCAACGAGTTACAACACCTTCGTAACCTTTACCCTTCGTCACACCAATGATATCTATCATCTCATCTTTCTGGAAAACAGCATCCACCGGGATTTGCTTCTCAAAGAAGCCATATGCATAGTCCACCTTCTGTGCTATTGTCCCCCCATTAACTTGGATCTCCATCAGATGTGCCTTCTTTTGCTTTAGACCCTTCACCTTCCGTATCTTCAAACAACAAAACAAAACGTCATGACTTCGCACGAAAGTGCAAGCCGTATTCCAGGACAACATTTTTTTTCCATCAATTAGCCATGCTATGAATTAGCTCCAAGGCAACGTAACAAACGAACAAATCATGAACTACCTTGAAAAGATAACTTCATGGCAAAAATACATGATATACAAGGAATAAAGGCACCAAATCCACCTATTAACCAGTCATACCTGAGTATGGGCCAAAACACGGATGACAGTTGCATATTTTTTCAATTTTTCAAGTTGTGCTTGAATATCCTTCTTCCCTTCCTCAGTTTCGTGTTTCTTCGAATATTTGGTAAATGCCTTCTTCTTAGACTTGCACCAGTTCTTGTAGAACCGCCTTTTAACTTCCTCACTTAGATGCTGAGCCCAGACTGTGTTTAGTGTGCGCAGTCCACGAGGTGTCTTCACATATCCAACAACTCCAACAACCACAATCGGAGGAGTTTCAACAATAGTAACAGCTTCACAAGTCTCCTTCTTATGAAGCTTTGATCCAGGTTTCTCAACATCTCTAACAATGTGGGTCATCCCAGCCTTGTAACCCATAAAGGCGGTCAACCTGCAAGGTTTGCTGGGGTCATCCTTTGGAAAGGCCTTTGCTGCAAAATCGAATTAGGATATAAAAGGTAGAAAAAGTAAGCATAATGCATTTGTCAAATAATCAAATAATTTACATATATCTATTCCTTCTTCCAAAACAGAGTCATTTAAGCCACAAGTTAATCTTTCTCACCACAATATATCACTTTTTAAATAATGAATACTTCTAATCAAAATAGATAACAAAGCACACCATACCAGAAGAAAAAAGGGAAGGGTTAAAAAACACATCCACTAGAGTAATGTTTATATTCTATTTTGTGGAAATAATATACTACTCTCTGCAATATTTTAACAATAGTAATGACTTGGTAGATACAGAGAACTGAAACTGGGTAGCTTCATCGAGTCATTAACACCATGTGAGCAAATTTCACCAGACTGAGACCAGATTAGGGACCACTATTCAATGCATGGGCTGTTGGTGAAAATCCCATGCTATTTTCTTTTGAAGAGGCAACAAACCAGAATCCAGTAACAGATGGCCCCACATATTTGAAATCCACACTGATCGCTTACTTTGGGCCACAATAGCACGCATTTCCCCATAACCAACAGATATTGGTTATATGTACAGTGTACTAAATACCATGACATCTTCGCATTTGCAAAAACCATCATTTAGCAGCCAAAATTTATGACATCTTAACCAATTAAGATAAAAGAAAGATATCCACATGATATGAAATTTAATTAGTAACATGAAACATGTGCATTTTTCGCACTGCATCTCTACATCACATGGAGATGGAACCCGAAGGCACTTCCACAGACAAAATTGTCTTCCTCCGTATACCATACAATTGTAAGCACGAATACTGTATAATATTATCAATTCAGCGTTGTTCTGTATCATTAATCATCACCTTAGAAAACATACTGCTTGAATCTCTTAAATATAAATATATACAATCATCTCACGTTATTTCACCAAAAATGTGAGAAATGAAAAACAAAAACACAAACAAACACAGTGGGGGTCGGCTAAAACATAGAAACAAAAAAAAACATCTTTGCACGTTAGATAAATTTAGACATAGACATTTGATGTTAAGAATGTAGCACCAAACCGACACAACCCGTCAAAATCCCCATAAGCATGCATATACATTATTTTGCATCTAGTACATGCATGCTTATGATGATTTAGCACCTATGACCCAAAAAAAATGGTACTTAAGCCGAAAAAGACTATTCCATCTACTAGTCAACTTTGAACCTATGCCTTGTAAAACATAAATCATCGATGCCAAGCTCAATCTGCAATGAAGAAATGCTCCCCAACCAAAAGCCTATGGCACAAATAATGCCAATTCTCTCAGGCTCCTGGGTATTCCTTCCCAAAAATCCTTTACAGGATCTTTGGCTAGAAGAGCCCTTTCAGAGATTCCAGCCTTGATTCGTCAGTTCTTTAAGGGAGCAAAATTTCAACCATTGCTCAGAAATGGCAACGTGATGATTATGATTCACAAATGCATCGGCGCTTGTAATTAATTTTGAAAATTAACTTACAAAAATATTCAGGAAAAAATCGTAACTAGTCCGTCGGTGCTCGGCTAATTTAGAAGAATGAAATTCGTCCGAAGAATTTGTTTTACATTGTCTTCCTATTCAAGTAGTAGAAAAATGTTAAATACCCTTTCCACGATGACGAGAAGCACGCTTCCTAGGCAGAAAGC